CTGAGAAATGAAAAAAAACTGAATAAAGATGAAAAGCAGAAACAGACCCATAAATACAGAAAACCATCCAGTGGTTGCCATAGATGAGGGGGTTGGCAAAAAGGGATAGAGTGGAGTGGGAAGTATAGACCTCCATTTATGGAATGAGTAAGTCATGGGAGTAAAAGGTATAGTATAGGGAATGCAGTCAGTGGTACTGTAATGGTGTCGTATGGTGACAGAGGGTAGCCACACCTGTGGTGAGCCTAGCCTAATGTGTAGAGTTGTCCAATCACTGTGGTGTACCCCTGAAACTAATGTTATATTTTGTGTCAACTATACTATGGTTAAAAAGAAACAGAGAAAAAGATACATTGAGATATACTGTCATTAATTTTCCTAAAACCAGAGATCGGAAGATGATGATGAGAGACATTGATGTACATATGAGGAGAAAAATCACATACACTGGAGTGGAAAACAGAACAATTTGAATTTCTAGCAACAAATTCTGAAGGGGAAAGTAATTTCCAAACAAGAATTTAATGCCTAATGAAACCAGTCAAGCTGAGAGTCTGAACTAAATGTTTAGACTAAATGTCTGAACCAAAGACATTTCAGACATCCAAAGTCTTTAAAGGGTCACTTTCCAGGTATTCCTTCTAGCCCAGAGCTCTGAAAGATGCACTATATACTGCTTTATCTTACCTTTTCTTATAGCATCTTTTGGTAGCACAGTAATTAGTGGACATGTTAGTGACCAAGCTGATAAATAGCATTCTGCATTGTCACTGTCTCAGAGCTCTGTACGTTATATGGACCTTTTCAGTTGTTGAAACAGAGATTTTCCAATCTCATATAATAACTTCATATAGGCAGGTCTTAGAGGCTGCATGTACTAGTTGGTCACTATTTGAAGCTGCAACTAGATGTATTAATTTCAGCAAGGTTAGCTGTGACTATGGAGTTGTCCATGGTGTCAACTCAGCTAAAACAAAACAAAATTACAACCACTTTATGGAGAGCCATCTTCAGCAAAAACAAAAATTCTTTCTTCTTTCTCTCTCAGTCTTCTCCTACCCCATAACTAATATGATCAAAAGTAGGGATGCATTGGGTCAGCACCCAGCTCACAGAATGTGTGTAATAACTAACTGTGGCCCAGCCAACTGCTGAACTCCCTGACCAAGGACTGCATGAAGGTGGAGAGAATTGCATGATTGGTTACCTTTTCTAATTCTGCAGTCTAGAGCAGTATGGGAAATGCACATATCAAGTGGCCATAAAGGCCACCCTAAATCACAATGAAACCAATGCATGTTTGGAGAAAAGTATATAGAAAGATATGAAAGAATAAAAGACTGAATTCTGACCTTAGCCTATAGATGACGAAGTATGATCTACAGAAGGTAATAAATCCCAGAATAAGTTTCATGAAATATCACCATTATAATTCCATTATCTTTTTAAAACTATGTGATTTGTGTTATAATGTAAACTACTTGTAGGTCATTTGTACTTCAGTCAATAAGTTTCAGTTCCATTTACAGGACAGATACAGAATAGAGCACATAGGTTGGTGCAAACAGGCAGAAATGAGCATGCAAACAAGAACTGAGTGAGTCTGGGATGGGCTTCATTTTTGTAGCAGTGAGAGGGCAGGTCAACAGACCTCTGTAGTAACAAGCTTCCCTCACATGCTTTGGGGCCACTCAGTGATCCAAACCAGCAACAAATTCTCATCGTGAAAATCAGTTTGTAGGAATAACTTTGTTGTGAGGAGGAATAGTGACAGGCAGGTGAACTAGGATTTGTGTGGCTTCCAAATACTTAATAAACATGTGCCAAAACTCCCAGGTTGTATATCAACCAGCTGGGGATTACAGCTAGGGATTAATTTAGATTTGTGGAGAATCTAAGCTTCCATATCAGTCCCAAGTTACTGAAGAAATGGATTGTTAGGCATAGCTTTAGAGCCAGCCCAGGGACTGGACTTAATAAAGCATTTCAGAGGCACAGAGGTTCTGGGGTGATCAGGGTATAAATTCCTAATCCTTGTATACACATTTGATCATATTCAGCACCACAACTCATCATCACGAGGCATGCTGTGTGAAATGTTTCCCCTGACCTCCTGCATGGCCCCACCAGGAGCTCATTCAGACTGGCCTATTGGAAAGCATCTGAATATTGCATTTCAGTGTTCACTTATACAAACACTGCCAAATCCTGGATATCACGGGAGCTTGGATCAATTTACCCTGTGCACTCTCATTTATATTATTGAAATTTAAAACTACATTTAGTTTATGAATACCAACATGTTATTTGGAAAAGAATAAAGCCTCATAGAAACTGCTGTCTTTGTCATTTTTAGCACAGTAAATAGGAGACGCATCTAAAATGTCAAGAAGTCAAGTCATTGTGAAGAGTTTCCTACTAAAGTGCAGTGAATTATTTAAAAGTCCTGGCATCCAAAGCGGCTAGTGTGCACCCTTCTTTCAGTCATGTACAAGTACTGCCATAGATGTGAACTCAAGTGTTCATTTTCACTGTCAGAACATTTCCATTAGAGCAATATATAAAGACCTTGGTGAGTCAAATAAAGCATGAAAAAAACAGAGGGCTTAACATATAGGGAGAGAGGAATGCAGCTCATGCTGAGGCCTACCTATATATTGGGCCTTTAAGGAATCTTATTTGAAAGGTTGGGGTTGTGACTTTATTTTATAATTGGTAAGTGTGAATTTTAATGCTCTGGTTCTTGAATTTGTACTAAGATCCACAATCATCATTTGTCCAATGACCCTAAGGAATTTACTCCTTTGGATTTTATCAAATGTTTTCCTATATACTGTCTTGCATTTTTGCTAATTCATTCCTGTCAGTATTTTTTGCCCTTTTGGTTCTGTATTAACATGCCCTGCATATCTCTACTCCCTCTCCTCCATTCCAGAGGACTATTATAGCATGTCCCCAGCACTCAACACGTTTGTTGATTGACATCATTGATACCCAAATGTTTCACGTTGATGACTATTCTTTTTGAGCTAAGCAAAATTATTGTGGAAACCAATACTAAATTCAACTATTGTTTAGGGAACTTTGCATTTTACTTCTGAAGTAATTGATTACATATTATATGTAAAGAAAATTGACATCTATAAACACAGAAGGAAAACAAAGAGTACCAACGATTTCCATTCTGATTGTCATGAATGCCTTACCTACATCTCAGTTTGTTTTGTGATAGAATTATCCTAGTGTAGTTTTATTACTTTATGTAGGGCTGAGCCTGATTAAGACTTAACAAATCTGGATTCTAGTTCCATTGCCATCACTGCCTTACTGCTTCTGTGAGCAAATCACTCTAACTTATTTCTGGACTTACTTTTACCCTTCATAAATTTGTCAGAGAAGAGCATGTTTAGGTTTTGCATAAGGTAATATGGATGGAATAAAGTATCTGAAAGAATTCTGAAATATTCAGCCAGTTTTGATGATATATTCTGAAATATCAGAATGAGCCTCATTTCTTTTTTTTTTTTAAAGATTTTGTTTATTTATTCATGAGAGACACAGAGAGAGAGAGGCAGAGACATAGGCAGAGGGAGAAGCAGACTCCATGCAGGGAGCCCAATGTGGGACTCGATCCTGGGACTCTGGGATCATGACCTGAGCCAAAGGCAGATGCTCAACCCCTGAGCCACCCAGGCGTCCTAAGCCTCATTTCTTTATATTCCAAGTTAGTGTAATCATTGTACAATATTTTTAAAGAAATGATCAATTAAAACTTTAAACAAAAATCCTTTATAAAGCAAAATATAACTCCCATTCATAAAGTAAATATAGGTCACTCATTCTATAAGAATTCTTAGTGCTACCAACTGTTATTTTTAGATATTTTTATCCATTAAGAATCAAAGAATGATTTTTCCCTTGTTAGCATAAAGGTGGTCATCCCTGCTTATATGGTGATCTTGCATTTCTATACATTCTTTGTTTTCCGTGCATTCATTGCCTTTCTGACCCTGCCTTTTATCACCACATTCCTCCTCCCTGACCCATCCCTTACACTGCACAACATGGATCTTCTGTTAACATTCACCTGTCTTAGGGAAAGGAATTGTTTTTAGGAGAAAGGATGATGGTTTTGGCTCCACTGTGTCTTCCAAATAAAGTCTAAGCATTTATTTAGTTTAGGATTTCAAAACTTCATCTTACCCTGCTTCATCAGGCTTCACTCTCACTCTCTTACATCATTCTGTAATGCAATTAAATGCATTAAATGGATACATGATGATACTAATCCTAAATTTCTGTATTACTGTGGGCTTTGTTTGTTTTTCAGTCTTTATTTTCTGCTTCTTTATTTCCTTGTTTCTATCTCTCGACAAAATATGGTGTTTAAAAGTTTTTATTTTATTTAAATTCAGTTAATTAACAAATAGCATATTATTAGTTTCAGAGGTAGAGTTCAGTGATTCATCAGTTGCATGTAATACCCAGTGTTCACTGGTGAGCCTAAGGAGGGCTCGCCACCTAGTTATGCCATCCCCCTACCCACCTCTGTTCCTGCAATTCTCATAGTTGAGAGTCTCTTATGGTTGGTCTCTCTCTTTGGTGGTGTGGTGTGTCTTTGACACACAGGATACACATTTGAAGCCTAAGGAGAGAGTCTATAAAACATAAGAGGAGTGCTCCAGAATTTAAGCAGGTTCTAAAAACACGAAGGGTAAATACTACAGATTCAAATAAAAATTTCATTAAACAGTTTTCTTCACCTTTTGTTTAGGAAAAAAAATAAAATTTGCAAAATATATTTTCAAGTGAGACCAGGCACAGTATTTTTTTTTTAAATTATGACATGAAGGTATCTTTCCTTAGAAACAACATCTTCTAGCATATGGAGACCTGTGAAAGCCACATCTCTACAAAGAAATAGGGGTGTTAAATTTTCTGTCCATGTATTCTCATCTGACCTGCCTATTTGATTCATATTACCTGTATCTTCTCCTTAGATTATTAAAACGGGAAGAAAGTTTCACATTCATTCCTCGGTCCCGTGAAGAACTTCCAGACAACTTTCCAAAGGAAATCCCTGGAATCTGCTATTTCCTGGAGGTAAGGACTGGTCCTAAGCAGCCAAAGCCTTCTCTTTCTTCCTCGAGAATAAAAAAAGTTTCCTACAACATTGGCACCATGTTCCTCCGGGAGACAAGCCTCTGAGACCTACTGCAGATCAAAGACTCCTCCAAAAAGCACAAGCCCGAACATGGGTCATGACTGGAGAGTGGAAAGAGGTGGTTTCTCTTTCACTACCTTGCTGAGAACAAGCAGCAGAATTTCTGTGTTATGTTAGGCAATAATCCTAGAAAAAGGTGGATGATGACTGAAAAAAAAAGAGAGAGAGAGAGAGAGAGGTGAGGGTAATAAGATGTGTCCATCCATGTAAGTGTTTTTTGGTCATATATATATTATATATATTTTAAGTACGGGCCCCCTTTCAAAACTAACCAATAAATAGATTCCATGTTTTCTTGTTTGTCACACATACAGGTATTTTTTCCCATATATCTCTATCACTTTTGAGAGCCAGTTTTGATGATATATTCCTACATTTAGTGAGTTGGTATGTGAGGAATATTTTCTAATTTTGTTTTTTTGAACAGACATTTCATACATACATCATGGCAGTGTGGTCAACTTCCCAGCAGGAAGAACTGTAACTCAGCAAAATATTTTAGGGATATTACCTATTTTTATACATCTCTCTTCTTCTAGATAACTACATTTCACACAACATTACTCGATTTTCAGAATCTGCTACTGTGTAGTTGGTATATTATGTAACTGTAACCTATTAATCAAATATAGCTTCACTTATTTAGACAGATTAGTGCTTGGACTGAGAATACATATAACCAAGGACTTCAGATGCTGAGAAAGCATTGTATGTCTGCTTAGTAAATATATCCTTTAGATTTAATTAATGTAGCATGGAATGCAAAGGAAATAGAATTTCCTAATAACAGATTTATCTGTAACAAGGATTACAGAAAGGTCTTATTGCCATCTTCTAACAAATGTCATTTAAAATGAAATGTTTTGCTACAGTGGACCCTTTTCAACTTAGCATTTATAAATAGATAGCGTGTACAATGTACTCAACTATATTCTAATAAGCAGAGTCCCCACTACATTATTACTCCTTCCCCTACCTTTCTACTTTCCCCACTGGATGCCTCCTAAGGGCTACCTGCCACTCTTGGGAGCAAATTCCTAGATGCTGTAGGACATTTTGCCAAGAAGGTTGTTTCTTCTTGCAAGATAAACAAGGATGGAGAAACCCTGTATTTTATGGCTTTGAGTTTAAAAAAAAAAAAGAATTTTTCTTCTGCAGTTTGATTGATGGGGATCTTAAATTCAGTGAATCACCTTCATGAACACAGAGGTAGGTCTACCCTCCAGGCCCAGCCATTGCCATAGTGACAGATAGGCTTCGATCACATGTGGTGCTAAAATGAAGACCTGTTCCCACTAATTAGCACCGCATGAAAATATTATCACAGATGCACCCTGAAATTAGGAGTACAGTACATCTAGAGTTTTCCTATTTTGGATCTAATATAAACCAAGTTTCTACTGAGGTTAATGAACTGGAAATATTTGTTTCCTTGAAACCTTGAAGTGGCTCTTTACTCCAGACAGTATGCTCATTGAGAGCTTATGTCTACTGAATGTAATAGAGTGATTTCTCCAGTCAGGCATTTTGTCTGCATTATGATTTGTTTGTAACATAACTCAGCTATGTTAACTGGTGTCCAATGTAGTCTATGAGGTTTATTCATGTTTTTAAGTTCTCTAAGTGTGTAGCTAGAAAACATTTGTAGACATGCAAAGTATGTGTTATATAATCGTTGAACTCTGTTTTCACCCTAAGGCTTATGAAGATACGAATGTAATACTTACTGTGCAGACAGGATCTAGACCATGAGCTCTCTGAATCCTTGCCAGTCGTTTCTCCTCCCTGGTCCTAGGTCCCTGTTTTTAACAACATGGAGGCCTGAAGCCAGGGTGTTTATTTAAGTGGAGTTTTGTAGGTTGAGGACAGGGTGCTTTCATGAGGATAGTTACAAAAGAACTTCTTCAGGGGCCTTGGAGGTTAACCCACTTCCTTCACTGGGAACAAGGGGGCAGGTTTATAGTCAGTGTGGGCAGAACAGGCTGCAAACCCCTAAGTCCTCTTGCTGAAAGCCGGCAACACTTTAACCATGTGCTCTGCACAGCACAGGGGCATGGAGAGAGAACCCAGCTTCCCTGAAGTCATTTATGCTTATTCTGCACAGGAGCTTAGAGCTTATTATGATAAAGTAAATCAGTAAACATTTTGGTGGTAAACAATGTGTTGTGTAACCATCAGGATTTCCAGTAATCATCCAATCTATTTCTCTGTTTTTTATAAAGATGTGTCTAAACAATTATTCTAAGTATATGATTATTCTTTCTATACTTAAGAATATCTGTGGGAAGCGTATTTTAAAAGCATCATTGAAAATCTACTTCATTATCTGGTAATTGGTGATAGCGCCCAAGACACGAATTGTATATACCTTCAATTTGTCAAAAGAATAACAAACTCTTAGCTTATATGGTTCTACTTAAAGAAGAAGTAGCCATTTACATTGTCACAAATATCACAATGAAAAATATACCAGAGATCTATTATATATCACAGGATGTAAACTACACTTTTCAAACAATGTAATCTAAATGTATCTTTGAAGCTGTAGTCTGTGACAATAGTCTAACCTGTTACCATTTTGCCAACCTATTACAGTTCATTATTAATTACCCTCTTGCTATGTGTTAGCAAGTTACTGCATAAAATGGCTGTTTATTCAAGCTGCACTCATAGAAGTTAGAAGCTGTGAAAAACTATTATACTTTTATTTGTCCTATGTAATACAGTCTACGTATCCTCCATTTAGGAAATGTGACTGCAACAATGGGTCATAGTTAGTACTTCATTTGACTAATATATGTACAGTATTCTTACCTAAAAATTACTGCAAACATCATGCATTTTAGTATGGCAGATTAAAAAGAATGTAAATGGATGTCCTATTAGAAGTCAAGTGTTATTAAATTAGGGAAATGGCTTTAACCCACTCTAAAATGGATACATTCAAATATAATTTGGCACTTACAGCTCCTCTAGATTAGTGTGCTTTGGGGTAACTAATTTGAAGAAGTCATTACATAACTAAGCATCAGTACTGGAGATCCACACTGACTTCAGTATTATTTTGATAGAAAGAAAGTCATCATCATTTGCAAATAAATCTGTAATCCAACAAAGTCACAAACCCCCCATATGTACCCCAAACTGTGCACAGTATGTGCTTTGGTAATCTTAATAAACAGGTAACATTAGCCATAATAAAAAAAGAATAATTCTCAGTGCCATGATAACACATATCATTGGATCTCTCATCTCTGTAGTATGGTATAGTGAGAGAAAGATGATAAAGAAGATAAAGCTTCTATATAACAGGTGATTGTCTAAAACCTGATTTGATATTCGTTTCTTCTACTTTAAATTATTTTGGATTTCCCTTTTAATATCTGACTCTCTGAAGTCCAATGAGCTGTGACCTATTGTGACTCTGAGACTGTCACTGAAACCTGAGACTTAGAGTGGGCCCATGGACTCAGCACTCCAAATAGGAACTCTCATGGTCTCACACTTGGATCTCTTGTCCAGGGATAATAGTATCAGAGACACAGTGTTTTATTGTTAAAGTGCAAAGTGTGCCCTTCCAGGAAACAGAGCAAAACAAGGCAACAAATTATACAAAATTTCATTCACAAGAGCAGCAAGGTTTTTAATTTTGCAAAATGCTCCAAAGATTTCCAGCAATAAAGCAAAATTAAATTGATACATTCAAAAGGCAAAGCCTCAGAATTTGGTAAACTACCAACTTCTGTGTTTTATACAGAAATATTGCTACCTATTGAAATCACATATTTGAGGTTTTGAGATACCAAGAAAGACCTTGAGATTATGATTGTCATTAAATCTATTTACTGAATGCTCTTGGGGATCCCTACTTGCTGAGAACAAGTGTCATGGATCATCAGGAGAGAACAAAACTTGTACACATAGGTTTCTGTCTTATCATGCATTTTATGCACTACTGAGCCCGTGCCCTGACCCTGTCTACTCCATGGTGTCACTGGAAACCATCTCATTCCTTCAAACCTAGCCCCAACAAACACTAGCACCTCTGAACCTAACACGGCCACTGCAAGAGGCAGACAGGAAGACCCACACAACCTCAGGCCCAAGTAACAAGGCACTTCTGAAGTGAACTAACCATTTTCAGTTGGGCTGGGGGCATTGCTAATGTCTGCAGCTTTTCCCTGTGCTTTTTCAAATACAGCCTGACTCCAAGCACTTGGTGTAACTTTACCAAAAATTCCTTCAAAATGAATTATATATGACTGATTAGGCTTTGGGTGACACAAGATGCCTTTTAGCCAAGAATAGTGATAAACTAAGCCCAAGAACCAAGAACCAATCAATTGCAGCCTAGGTATTTCTATTATTAGAATATAGATCTTCAACTACAAAAATCATGTTGTTTCAGAGGCTTCTATAAGCATATCTACCAGATACAGATGGAAAAACATGGTACACAAGAGACTGAGTCATGAGGGTTAACATACGCCAGTCTGAATGATGATTCCTTATGGGTAGCTCTTGATATATACTTCATTCACAAGCAGTTATAGATAGATAGATAGATAGATAGATAGATAGATAGATAATAGATAGATAGATAGATCTTGCCAGAATATACTGAGATAGTGTGCAAAATTCCTTCCTCACACTTGATTCAAACAACTGAAACCTAAGATCTGTCCTGCTGCCTTTCTGTTTCCTTCCTTTGTTCCTTTTCCTTTCATATTTAAAAAAAGTCCATGATATGGCCAATCTCATGTTGTAAAATAGTTTCAGTTTTATAAAGTAATGAATCCTCTTTGTGGACAGGTGTAGGTATGTGTGCATGTGTGTGTTGCATGTAGATATTACATGATTCAAAGGAGTGACCTTTTGGAAGGACCTGGAATGCCGATAAGGAAGGTTTGCATTTTTATTTCCAATATGTTGTGACCAGAACACAACTTCAGTCAAGTGCTTCGTTGCCATCCCATCCTTACTAAGAAATGATCCTGTTCAATAGTTCAACTCATCAGCATGGGATCATCTGGCTGCCCAAGTAAGAAGTACCCAGGAAGCTTTCAGAAATACAAATTACTGAGCTTTACACCTGCAGAGATTTGGATTCAGCAGGTGGCAGATATGGCCTAGGAATCTGTATTTAGAAAATCACTCTAGGTAACGAGAATATAAAGCCAGATTTGAGCTTCACTGAAAAGTTTTCAAATAATCTCAATTACCAGAAATAAATAAAGGTGACTAAGAGGGCAGTCTATTATTTCATTTGTAGTTATTTTGAAAAGCTAAGTATTCTGAGCTTTGTAGCATTATTTCTTTCACAAGTTTTAATTTTAGCTTTGGTCTCAAATTTACAGTCTGCTTTTTGAGCAGGAGACTTCAAACTTAGAAACAAAAGTCAAAACTAATAAGCCTGAGGAATGATTATTGCTCACTATAGGGCTATTTGGCACAGTAGACCTGGTACCATTTTCTTAGTTACCACCTGAGCTGTGCAATATATCACAGTAGTTGCTGGTCCACACCACCAAGCTATAAATTACAAACTTTTGGACTACAAAAAACTATAAACTTTTTTGTTTTGGAGAAACAAATGTCGAAGTGACAACATGATTTCTGAATGCTTTGATTTTTATGTCATAAAAAATCACAACTTAATACTTAGTATCACTCTGTACTTTTCACATTGAATTGTGCATTCATCTAAAAATAATTTCCTAGCAATACTTTATAACAACCTTTCAAGCAATAATTTAAGCCATGGTATGATACCATATGAAACCTGCACTTCTGTGCGCTTCATAGCACCTTTAGGGAAATAGAGACATGTTTTATACAAGCAATAATATGGCTGGTGTGGACTTTCAAAAGATATTCTTGATTCTATTACAGCAAAATAAGCAGTAATAACTTAGGTAAAAATTATCTGAGCAAATAACATGGGTTCATCTGTCTCAGAAGCCATTCATTTGCACACATGCTATAAAGTAATAGACTCCTAGCACATTATTTCTGTTGTATAATTTTTAAAATAACCTATCACAATATGATTTCTGTTCCTCCCAAGAGACCTGTGTATGTAATGTTGCCCAGACTTTCAGGTCTTTGTATAATATGATAGTGAGGAGTAGTTAAGGATGTATAAATGAGTAAAGTAGAGCATAGGTTGGATGAGTTGATTGAGAATTTAGGCTTTGCAAAAATACAGATGGATCTTGGGACAGGTTAATTCGAATTCTTGGTTTGATAAGCATTCAAAGATGAAAGATTAAAGATGAAGAGAGCTCATTACTACTGTTTTCTGTAATGGCAAATGTTTAGTAAATATAATAGTATTTTGGCTCCAGAATATGATTGATTGGATGTCATCTGTAGTATAATTAATAAACATCTGAAAATGATTTTGTAGCCTTATTGAAGATAACCTGCCCTTCTCAGCTGTTTTTATGATAGTACTAAAGACTATACATTTCAAAATGAGTAATTAATATTTTTAGTATTAAAATGTAATTTTAATCAAATATGGCATAGTCAATAATCAGATAATTTAATAGTTAAATTATCCCTCCATCATGTAGCATAACATAGTAGGATTACACTCAAGGCAATTGGTGAATTTATGTTACAATGAGGAACTTCTAAACCTTGGGTTATTATTTAGCAAAGTCATATAAATTTAGGATCCATTCCTAAACCTCTAAATAAGATTACAGCTCCTATTATTGCCTCCCTGGGCAAACTCTCTACTAATCATGAATCTGAATACAATTGGAATGGTGGCTGGGCTTGCTGCTAGTTTACCTTCTTAATAACCATTGCAAAAGTGAAGGTAACATCCTTCTTCTCACAACTTAGAAAATCCCCTTATAAAAATGCAACAGGACTGTTGATTTCCTGAGAAAGTTTTTGATAATTATCTTTTTGCATATCATTGGATGCTTAATTCATAAAAAACATGCTTTTGACTGTTAATAAATAATGAAAAATACTTAATTTGAACCTATTATAGTGAATTTATCCTTTCAGTTAATTCATCTAGCTGGTGATCAGATCATTCAAAATATTAGACTTACATACTGTTGCATATTATCTGAATGCAGAAAACTGAATAGCAGGCCTAAGTCATAGCTTGTTTCTGATTCTTTTGACACATAGTCTAAAAAGAAGGGAATCAGTTCATAATTCAACCTTCTTCTGTGGCCTTTTCATTATTTGGAGATAAAAAAGGGATTCTACTAAATATATTTTTACTGTGGTCTATTAAATGTAATTAAATATAAGTAGGACTGTAATGTATTAATTGGGGTAAAAATCAGAAATGTATAAAACTACTTCTTCACCTCGCTTTTGAAAGATAAGCTTATTTTGCTGCTTGGCAGTTATGCATCAGACTCAAGACCCAGGGCCAGATGGAGAGGGTGGGATGCACAAGAGCTTTAGGAGAGATGAAACAAAAAGGTTTAATTTTTTTCTACATGAAGGTATAGTTAATCGTAAAGGAGAAGCAGTTTCCGTAAGAGATACCTGTGGTTTAATGAAAGCCAGATGACTTATTTGACTGCTGGTCATTCTTATTTCAGAAAGGAAAGAGGAAAACAAAATCCTTTTCAGTTTTCTTAGGAGGTGGGTTTGCCTCTCAGCAGCCGCACATTTCAGTGAAACTGGGATTAGAACCTCACAGGGCTATAAATAGAAACTCTCTGAAGGTGGCTGATAGCACTAGTCTTGGTTACCAAGATGAAGGTAAATGAAGGTGTCAGAACATCTGGACTGAAGGAACAAAGAAAACCAAATAGCAGCTCTGCCATATGTCACAGAACAGCCTGCTAAAATTAGTGTGCAAGTGATATTAAAATATTTTTCCCCTTGATAACATGCCTGACTGAGCAAACGCGCAGTAAGAACACAATTTGATTTTATACATCCTTTTTGTGTGTGTTCTGACATTATAGAAACGATATCTTTCCCTCGTTGGGAAATCTAATCACAAAGAATGAGAAATACCCTGTGTTCTAAATCATTTTTGGAGCTATACTCTATTTCATATTCTTCTTCACACTATTCTCACATTGGGCTTTGGCTGCTAGCAAAACAAGTGCTCGACCTTAGATAGAAGCCTGCCTTTTTTTTTTTAAGATTTTATTATTTATTTATTCATGAGACACACACAGAGAGGCAGGGACATAGGCAGAGGGAGAAGCAGGCTTCCTGTGGGGAACCCAATGTGGGACTCGATCACAACCTGAGCTGAAGGCAGATGCTCAACCACTGTGCCACCCAGGTGCCCCAAGAGAAGTTTTTCTGACCCAAAGCCTGTCCTGCTCCTGCAGGGATGCTGCAGAGTTGGAGCTGGGGAGGCACATCAGCAGTTGGTGTTCTGCCCAAGAGAAGAGGTATTATTGTCTGCCTTCCAAAATTAGAAGTGGCTAGGTAGCCTCTTATCCTCATTTAAATATGTCTCACTTATATGCAACTGGTTAATTCAGGCAGATTGCTTAGAACAGAAAAGTTTTAAGAGAGGAAACAAATCTGAATAGCTTTTAATCAGAATTACCAGCTAGAAAAAGAATTTAGGATGATAATTTATGTCTTGAAAGAGTCAATTTATATCCCCCAGTCAGAATACTAGACACTTCTGAAAGTTTTCTAAATGTATCAAGTTCTTCAGCACTAAGAAAGAAAAATAATTTTGTTGAAGGATTCCTTAAGGCTTTATCCCCTGGAGATAACATATAATTATAAAACGCATTTAAATTATTTTTTTTTTCCTGGACAGCCCAGGTGGTTCAGCAGTTTAGCACCGCCATTGGCCCAGGGCGTGATCCTGGAGACCTGGGATCAAGGCCCATATTAGGCTCCCTGCATGGAGCCTGCTTCTCCCTCTGCCTGTGTCTCTGCCTCTCTCTCTCTGTGTCTCTAATGAATAAATAAATAAAATCTTTAAAAAATTTATTTCTTCCTCTATGTTTTCCATTTGTGGCAGAAAAGATAGAAAGGATGTCACAGAAAGACTGACAAATTGTGGCAGTAAGCCATGGTTTGCAAATTTGGCAACATTCTTTTACTTAAAATACTAAGCTGTTTTTAATGATATAAGGGTAAGAATAATAGTACTGTATTAAGACTTGTTCGCTTTAGAATTATTCATATCCATATTACTATTACTCTCATAATAAAACCTAAATCAAAGCTAATTTATATTCCAATCATTTGAACAATAAATATAAATGTTCTACATCACCTCTAACAAGAATCTATACATTTCTGTACCCAGTGAGACATCAAATCCTAGAACTGCTTTACTTTTATTGTCTCTCCTTAATGCTCAATATCGCTAACTTTCATGGCAGCAGGAGAAGATAGCTTTCTTCTAAGGAGAAAGGGGTGTTCTGGATCAATATATTTATGTAAAACCACTTAAAACATCCTTTTTTTTTCCTACTTCTTCATTCAAATCTCCATGAAGTGAAGCAAAATATTGGAATGGCCAGATAGTTTATCAACAATATGAAACTCCCTCCTTCCAAATTTTATTGGTATAATTTATCATATTGAAATTAAAGCCAAAGCTTGGCTTGAAGTCTCAGATGAATTGTTTTCATATTATTTGGCTAGAAAGAACTATCAGGGAAAGGTGAACTCTTATTTATGATAGATGTCATTCTAGCCAGGAAGAGATCAACAACCTAGATGACTGTATGACTATCCACACTAATTCAGGGAGGGGCTTTTTAAAATTCTTTAATTTTTGCTCTTGTTAGGCAAAGATAATTATTAGTGGATGACAGCCAAATTCTTCCTGTCTTTTTTATCTGTTACAAATGTGTCACCAGGCATTTGTAAAGTCCATCCCTTTCTTTGTTATACCACTCAATGATCTGGAATAATGGGTACTCACTGCTTTTTCTTTTGATCCTTAAAAACACTTTATTCCCTATCTAAAAGAATTCTCCTACTAACATGCAAATGAGGAAGTATCCCATTTTATGACTATATGTGAAATACTTCGGCTGGATTCAACTAGATTGCAGGAGAAAAGACAGCAACAGGGAAGACGAAAAGAGACAAATCAAATTTTACCTACATTAAAATTATGTCTGTAGCCCAACCCCATTAACCCAGAAGACAGCTGAAAAAAGATGAACTGATTATAGATTTTTAAATACAAAGTTCATATTTAACAGAATGTCTGAAAGTTCATCATGTCAAAACTTTGATAAACAAAAAACTAAAAATATGCTCATCAGAATGAATCTATTTAAAAGTACAAGAAGAACTTTTTGCCTTATAGATGCCCTACCCCTACCCCACCTCACCCTGGTACAGAATTTGTCTTCTGTTGGGAAAATGTGGTACTGTGTCAGTATGTGTTGTATGTCCTCACTAAACACTAGTATCATCTTGATTATAATGGAAAACAGTGAAAGGGTCCAGTCTCAAGTGTGGCTGTAACTTGTGATGCATCAGTAGAATTTGATACTGTTTCTGAGGGAGACTCTGGGCAAGCGTAAAGTGCATGGCCTCTGTGTTGTATGCAGGAGTAATCCGGTCCTCACAGGTGGCCAGCATCCTCAGCTTCTTTTTTACTTTTCATTCTTTCTTTCTTTCTCTTCCATCTCTTCTCTCCTTCCTACCTTCCTTCCTTCTTTTCTTTCTTTCTAGCTCTTATGACAGATGTGAAAATAGTGTTTCAGTATTTGGGTGGAGGCTTCTCTTTTTTTCTTGCACATCACTGAGCACAGTGTGGCTTTAGGAGGTTAGGAACAGAAGGTGAACATTTAAACATAGATCATTTGGGGAGGGAAATGACAGAGATCATTGAGACATTGTCTTCTCAGTTAACAAATCTGGAGTTTAAAATACATATATGTTGTTCTTTTGCACTGAATTTGAACACTTTCTCAGGAAGTATCAGGGTCAAACTTTTTGAACAACCTCCTATTTTTGCCCCTACAAAGATCTTCATTTAGAAAAATCTTCTCATTTTCAAATAGTAAGTTTTTACTTGGGTGCCACTCTGCTCATCATTGAAAGAGAAGATAGCATTTGTAAAGAGATTGCTTTTAAAAAACAACTTTCCAATAAGGCCAATACATCCAATGCTACTTGATTTTACTGGCTCTTTATCTAGAGATAACTTATCCTGTCCGGCTTCTTGTGTACCCCTCTGTAACTCAGTTTGGCACAGTATGGTGTCTGGGCTTCTTTTTTGAGGGTATGAAAACATTTGCCATCAATTCTGTAAGTCCGCTGTATCGAACAAGCAATATACAATGTATTCCCTATTTCTTAGCTCTCTGCCTTTGAGATCTTAGTGTGTATTCAGATAACTGTTTATAATCACAATTTCTACTTAGTCACCAGAATTAACTAATTACTATGCTTTTAAACCCAAAAATACACAGCTTGGATCATTTACAAGTCCAAATTCAAAGCCTTTTTTCCCCCCAGGGAAAATTCAATCATTTCTAGCCAAGTACTTGATTCCTAAGGGAAAAGATGTGAATTATCTTATTTAAAAGAGTAAAAATGAGGAAGATATTATGCCCTTTCATTTTAGGTATCCCCAACACTATAATCATTTGAACAAGTATTGGATAAGATTTAAAGAATCTTTAATCCCTGAACTGAAAATATTTTTGGTTTTTTGGTAGTGTATTAGTAATATATTCAAACTACTTATCAAGTTTTCACCATGATATAAATTTGTATTCATTAACAGAAAATTATATAGAAATAATAGAGCTTTTTTCTTTCTAGAAATATATGCTTCTGTAAGTCAGATATCTTTGAATATTGGTTTACTTCTCATTTAGACTTTTTTTTTTTTAAATATATCTTGAGGATATTCTACTCTAATGGATTAGTCAGTCAGTCCAGGGAAGAGATATGAAAACTACAGAAAAATTAAAAACTTTAAAAGAGTACATTTCAATGTCAATTGACTTTTACTTATTTCACCTTGACTTGTGAAATTGTGAAGAAATAGGCCGCCACCATATAAATTGACACTTAGGAAAATATAAATTTCTTCCTGTGACTTCCAGTGTTAAAAAAGCCTGTGCCTTGAAATAATACACAATATTGATACTTGTTCGGCTTCACTGTCTTTACCATTTTTATTTCTTTAGAGAAATATGTTTAATAATGATTGTAAAAATAGAAGAAATGTGGTTGAGGAACACAGAAGAAATTAAGATCAAATGTGAAGAGAGTCCTATTTTCTCCATTTTGTGTCATTCAGGCTGAATTGACATCTAAGGCCCAGATTGGCAGCCTATCACTGTCTTCTTTAAGCATTTGAAGATAAGCAAAAATTATTCCAACCATGTGGACATTTATTTACACCATAATGGCAGGTTTTGATTACCATGAAAATCAGGTTAGGTTCATATTTTTTAAAAAATGGTCCATGGGGAGAAAGACTTTCTGATTTTTCTTGGATGTGGATAAACAGCTTTTCCTGTATTTAAAAACAAAACAAACAAACAAAAACAAAAAAAAAAAAAACCTTCCTGGGTGTTTGGCCTTGGAAAAAGTCTGAAATTTTATGACATCTGCCTGCAACTACATTATAACTTTGGCAATCAAATGACAGAACTGTCTCATTATGCTTTTAAAACATACCAATTAAGTGCATTCCAGAAATAATACATATCATTCTTCATTTCAAAATCAACCTACCTGAATTCTGACTCTTCAACTGTGAGTAGCCATTTTAGAAAACCAAAGGGTCTCATTTCCCAAAACCATACTGTAGATTAAAAAAACAAAAAACAAAAAACTTGCCTGTTCATTTCAATGTATAAGATAAATAGCCAGTGCATTTCCATCAAACTTTCTGGCACTATATATATATAATCATCAATAGGTTTCCCAACTCAATAAAAATACATAGTTTATAATGTACTAGGCCTTCATTTGCTTCCTCTGCATGGGGTAGTTTTTATGTAAGGAGATACCTGAATTATTTTAATACTTTGGCCAATTCATTTGCTGTGATTTCATGGGTCTAAATTTTTGATTTGGCTTGCAATGTAAATACTATTGTACATCTGCTATTTTGCTATCGGATTATACTTTGTGAGTCATTTCTTTTAAATATCTAGTTATCACAAACTTGAATTACAATGTCATTAATAATACCAGGTCAATATACTAATATATCTGTAAGGCATGGTTAAATGCATATATTTTGAAATGTCAAGCTATTATTTTTAAAAGATGAATGCATCTCTTAAACCTGTACCATTCATTAAAAAGTTTCATTTGGTGTTTAATATTATATTTTAAAATATTTTCCTTTATCTAGTAGTACAGGTTAAGAGAACCTTTTTTTTTGAATGAAATGATAAAATATGCCTCGTTTCACTAGAATTTTAAGAATACTAGTATGTGTAAAAGTATATAAGCACTTACAAGATTATAAACATCCACTGTATCTTCTTTGGTTTTCATGTAACACGACTTTTTACTCATGTGATTATTTTTACTTGTAATTAACCTAAATCACACACAGTGTAAATAGCATGTTTCATTATGAAAAATGTCTTTGTATTTACAGACTGCAGAACAAGGTAAATTTGTATATGAAAAATGATTGATGAAAGCCTGGGATTCTTAAGAAACAAAGTGGAAATGACAGTTGTGTGTTATATTTTACATAATTCATTACAAAATTAAGTCATGCATTTATTTACCTTGTAAGTCCAAACTGTCACTTATAAAAATATTTAAATCAATAAATGATACCAAAAAAGAGGAGTCTGTCAATTCTTTTTAGCTTCTTCTTCCACACCGTGAGTGACAATGATTAAAAATATGAACAAATGTTTCAATGCATTATCATTATGGCTGCAGATGATGTTAATGCGACAACTATTATTAATTTTTATGATAGGAAATCTCTTAATTCTCTTATTAAACCAAACAGTCCAGGTCACCACTTCTGTAGTTTTATGCACTCTGAAAATATGTCACACAGAAAAGGCATGATTCACTTGTCTTATTGTCAGTTTGCTTCCCTGAAAGGACAGAGAAATGGGATCATTTTATTGTCATAAAATGTCAACTGAACACCCACTGGGTACTGGTCAGGGCCTCGCCTGGGAGATTAGATGCTGCACATCCCTAAAAGAAGACCATTTCATCCCATGTTCCTATATTTCTGCAGTAAATATACACAAAATCAAGTTATCTTTGTTACCTATTGACCCTCTCCCCCATAGCCATTAGGTCTTCTCAGCTGTACAAATCTATTTCTCGCTATTTCTGGCAATTCCCAAAGGGATATCCACCCTTTGTCTACAGAGCTTTTCTCATCTTCTGCCCTTGTCTCCTGGTAGACATCTGCTGTTTCAAAGTCATGCCATGGAGAATTACTTTACTGACCCTGTAATACTGAGGAGGCAGAAAAAAGTAAAGGAGGTGTGTATACACACATGCGTGCACACACACACACACACACACACAAGATAATTCCAATTAAAATTCCCTAGGAAATAGAAGAAAGTTACTGGGCTCATAGCAGGATGGGCAGTGCTTGCTCGGGCTGCACCTGCTGGGCCATGGGGCAGCAGTTCCTCCTTGGCAGGTTTCCTAGCCCCATGTTTGTAGGCTGAAGCACTGGCATGAACTCACAGGCTTTGTCAGTACAGGATTGTGTTTATCTTTGTTGTTAGACAAAATAATCCCCTTAGAACTAAGAAGACTTCTAATCTATTTGCTCCTAGTCAGTGCCATCAGCCAGCATTCAAACTAAAGTTTTCTTCTGAGATAATGTTCTTAGTCTTGCCTTATGTCCTTTGTCCCCAGGATTGTCTCATAACATAATGGTAGCTATTTCAGTGTCACATCTTACCCGAGGGGAGGTGACACTCTTACCCCGATCTTTGCCATAGGCTGTCCCTTTGTCACACCGAGAAGTCTCATTGGATCTCACTCACTTCAGTCTTAATCTTTTTCTTACGGTTTCAGTTTTGTCTTTTCTTTCCTTTGTTCCATACAGAAGTCCTTAGCATTCTCTACATTTTGTGTGCAAACCACATGGGCCTGAGCTCGTTTCCTTCTCTTCATCCCTTGCCAACTAGGTAAGATGCAGCCAACGTGCACTAACGGCGTGCCTCCCTACAACCACGTGTGCTGCACACTGAAGGCGGCTGACCTCCCTTCCCAGTTAACCACGGGTGACAGTTTTACTGAGCGTTTTGGTCCCAAAAAGCACACGTCCTCCTCTTTTCAACCACACAGACCAGGCTGCCTCTACACCAGTACCACGGAGTTTAGGCGTCTGTTATGGCAGCACTTTGCATTATTGATTTGGAACGGAGAGGCTGAACTTACAGAGAAATCCAACCAGAGAAAGACCTCATGCAATGATTATGTATTTCTCACTCATCTATCGGGACAGAAAGGTTCCAAGTTAGTGTAAAGCTATTTCATGCTGTCGTTCAGGGACCAGGCCTGGCAACAGGCACAGGCCGCCTTTATTCACACACCTGCCTCTGCACTGAGTCCCATGGCCACTTCCACCTGCCAAAGAGGACTAAGAAAGCACTCCAAATGTGGATCCAGGAAAACGGTAAGGATTTTGATCAACACCTCACAGCTTCGGCCACAATTATATTTTTAGCTTGAGTTTTTTTTTTTTTTATTATTATCTTATTCTCAAAAAAACCTAAACCAACTTAGGCATAAGGCTATGACGCCCTATTTAAAACAGAGCTGGAGGGATCCCTGGGTGGCGCAGCGGTTTAGCACCTGCCTTTGGCCCAGGGCGCGATCCTGGAGACCCGGGATCGAATCCCACCTCGGGCTCCTGGTGCATGGAGCCTGCTTCTCCCTCTGCCTGTGTCTCTGCCTCTCTCTCTCTCTCTCTCTGTGAATATCATATATAAATAATAAAAAAAAAATAAAAGAGAGCTGGAATCTTTCAGAAACCATGCCTATGATATTTGCTATGAGGGTGTCTTGGTTCTCTAATTCTTGTGGACAGAGACATTCTAAATTTAATAATTAGTATCTGCCAACAATTCTTCCAAATAAAACATACTGACCAGACCACAGATTCTCACAAGGCTCCCAGATTCCTGTTCAGTGACCTCTACTGATCAGGAAGAGATTCCATTGCAAAGTGTCATCATCATCATGATCAGATAAGAAGATGGAAGATGACACACATTCCTCAGGAGACAGAGCCCTTCCCATTTATGCATCTGGTATATTGCAGAGTGCTAAAGGAGGATTTCTGATGCTAATTTAAGTGGAATTACAATGACCAGAACAGACCAATAAGAAACCTCTAATCGCAACATTGCAGTACAGATTTTGCACACTTTTGCTTTTTTCAGGTTTGGACCTCAAGTCCAGGATATTATCCATTATGAACAGGCAATGCATATAAGATTTCAACTTTCAAGGTATGGAAGTTATGTAGAAGCACTTTACCAAATTTTGATCACACTGTATGCCTTCTACTTGAAAGTTATAGCTACCAAAGTATGTGCAGAGAAGCGCAAGTTATTAGTTAAGTGTGTGATATTTGGGATTATACAGACCTGGGACCAATCCCACTCATGCAACTCATTAGCTAAGGAAATGATAGGAAAACACTCCTGTCCAATTTGACAATTGTGCTTCTGTCAGCCTACATTTCCACAGAAGGAAGACTCTCTGCCTGCCCCTCTGGCTAAACCCCAACATGAGGAGACCAGCATGAGTCCCTCTTTAAAGACAAGATGAAGCTCTTTTAGAAGAGCTTTATTAATTTCCTTATTGTCATATAATTTATCTGATGCTCTTACTTCAAAGAAGGTATTGCCTTTTGTTTTTTTAAATATTCTTTGATGATGGATCCCTGACTAATAAGACTTTTATTTCTCCATGCAGATGATTGAGAGGCCAATTCAAAATCACATACAAAGAACAGGGAAGTATCTGTTGATTTCAAGTGAACTGGGTGCAAACCTCTTTTAACATTAGTGAATGATTCAGATGACTGCTTAGGTTTGTTGTTGTAACAAAGAGCTAACTATGCAAGACTAGACCAATTACATTTCCTTTCAATGGCTACAGTTACAATGTTGGCTGTATTTAAATCATAATATCCAATATTTATTTATGTGGTACCGTCTATGCAACCAAGTCAGTGCTGGGTTAGCAGGAAGTTACTTGGAGTAAATTCATCAGAATGCAGTTGTACCTTAGTGCTTCTATCTACCCTATCTTATTTGGATCTACCTCTTAATCAAAATTTAAATGTGTTATTCTACACATCCTCTCCCTATGTTCTTGGCTGTGATATATTCATGCATTTGTGCTGAATGAATGCTAAATATCTCTTTCTTCAATGATATTAAATCTGGCACAGAATATCCCAGCGAACCTTAAGAAGAGTTGAAGTGAATAAGCCTGATTATTTGCATGCGCCAATTTATCTGAAGAAATTGATTCATATACTTAAGAGAAAGAGAAGATGTAGATGCGCTCTGAGGGGAAAGGCTGGTGAACACTGGAAAATGAGAAGCAACAGGTTATCTGCTCCCCAGCGTGGTCCCAGGGAGTTGAGTGTGAGCTCATACAGGAAGAAGTCCCACAAATGTTAAGGAGTCATTCTGCTCAGAACCCATGAGGTACTGGACCACAAGGAGTGCTGCTTCAAAGTCTAGGTGATGAAGTTGACAGAGATGGAGGAAGGAAAACCCTCCCCATCTTACCTATAAAGACCTCTTAAACTGTATCAGAAAGGATTTAAGCTAAAAAATGTCACCGAGTCTATAGAGATGAGTTTATATAAGATACATCCGTGGCATACATAATTCAATAGTACACATAGCACGTGTTTGCTGTCACCAAATCCTGAAGTATCTGCCTTAGATAATTCTCCTCCACCCCAACCTAAAGCATCTCTGTTCTTGGCCTTACAGATTCTGAACATGCAATCATTTCTTATCTAGACCAATCCTTCACAAGCACTGGTCCTGGTGCAACACTTGTCTCTAAGAACTTTTCTTTGTTTATGAAAAAAAGAAGAAAAAAAAGGGAAAAACTTCATGAAGTTAAGTCAATTGATTCAAGAAACTTTTCAATTTGAGATTAATAGAAAACTAGCTGTATTGAGAGGTACTGATGACAATAGGTGGTTTTGTGGGTGTCCCTGGTTTGCTTTTATTTTCAAGAATACTCACCTTTTACCCTGACCTGCCCACAGAACATATATTCATTTTTCAGAGTGGACATTCTCATGCCATCTCTTATGAAATTTTCCCTAACTGCTCCCTTATGCCTTTTACTGCCACAGTGGGGGTACTACTGGAATGAGGTTATACCTGCCTTAGAAATCTAAAACAGAAGAAAACCATTATGTTTTAATAACCAACAATTAAAAAGCAAGTTCTTTCTGTCTTCTTAGATATACTGGCAAGTAACAAAAATTCAACTCAGTGGGTGAGTTTGTTTTTTTGTTGTTGTTTTTTAAGGTAAATGAACCATATTGGCTCATGAAAACAAGAGTTTGGATGTGGCAAACGGACTGCATTTATGTGTGATTCCATCTTCCCTTGTATACTGGCTTGGTCTTCAGACTGGCTTCCCTCGTAGAAACAAAATGGCTTTGGTAGTACTTTGTTCAATCATTTAAAGAAGAGAAAATCCTCTCTCTCCCTCTCCATAATGATCTGTATAGATGTAAAGCCTGAAACAAATCCCAAGTAATTACTTTGACCTGAAGAATACTGTGCTATCACTGTCCTTTAAACCCACCA